CGAGGCTCACAGGGTTCTGATGAGGATGTGAGTGACGGGCCCGTCAACTGGTGCTATGGCTCCTCTTGACTCAGACCTGGGGTGTCAACCAGGTGTGAGAGGTGGGGCAGGCATTTTGTCCATCCTGTGACCTCACTGCCCAGAAGCCTTCAGCACGGAGGGAAGAAGGGACATGGCATGACTGCTCCCATTGTCTCACCGAATTAGCACTGACAACTGGGCATGTTGTACGCTAACTCTGGTGTCAGGAGGTTCTGGGTGGGAGATAGGAGCTGGCGCTGAGAACGGGCAGGGTCTGGGCAGTTGCCCACAAGACCCAGGCAACTCTTGGTGGCTTGGGTTGTTCTGTGCCTCAGTCTTAATGGAGGCCTAGGCTTGCTTAATACACAGAGGCCCGGGGCCGTTTTTCTGGAGCTGTTTGCATTTGCCTTCTGCCACATAAATGACTGTCAAGCTGGAAGGGGCCTCAGAGCGCTTTGTCCTGGCCCCATTTGACCCTGGAGAGATGTGCCCCTCCTGCCACTCCCTCTCCATTCGCCCTTATACTGCGCTGTTAGTGGAGAAATTCCTCTGCCTGGGGCAGAGTTGCACCAGGAATTCTTTCCTCCCCATGAATTGCGCTGATTACCGCTGATTTTGATGCTAGGTCTTGGGGGGTGGCATTTCTGTCACCTGACACTTAGAAAGCCTTTCTCGCTCTGTTCATCTTTGACAGCAGAACGCTTTGCTTTACCATTGGAGGACTAGATAAGGTCCTGTCTGTTCTGTTACTAGAATGACGGGCAGTCAGGTCCGCAGCGATTAGTGTCATACCAAAGCCATGTGTGTCACATGGTACATTAAGGCTTTGACATCGATATTCCTGAGAAACAGTCCTCGGTCAGGACTTTCCCAGCCCCTGACTGGCCCTAGCCTCCACCTCCACCTCCCCCGGGGCGGGGCCGGGGCAGGTAAGAGGCCCTGGCTCCATTTCATGGGAGTGTGGGGAGTGGAAGCACACCGAGAAAGGGGTGGAGACAGCCAGTGAGCTAGGGCCTCAGGACCCTGCGCCTCTGTCCTCTGCTGCCACCCTCCTGAGAGTCCTGCTAGAGAAGCTTCTAGAGCACCCCTCTGTTCTGTCCTGAGCCCTCCAAGGCCCGAACCGTAGGTCCAGACCCCAGCGTGCTGTTAGCTGAGTGTTCGGGGCCTGCTCGTCTGTCTGGGTTACAGGGAGGAGGGCAGGTTTGGAGAGAAATGCCGTCCTTCCTTCCTGTGGGGCTGCTGTGGACCAGGCGTGTGCAGATCCGCCTTCCTCTAAGTGAGGGCACGTCTGTCTATTGACTGACTGCTGTGCCTTACTGGGAGTGATCTTCAACAAGGAGACAAGCAAGGAAGGATTTCACTGGAGCAAACAGCGCAAATAGGACGGTACGCCCTGACCCTGGTGAGGCAGAGAGAGAAGCAGCAGCCCTTCTGCGAGCTTAGCTTAGCCGTGCCCCATCAGTTTCCTTATATGTGTGAGGGGATGGCCCTCCCTGGTGGGTTGCTCAAGGTAGATGCTAGTGTGCCGGGCACTCGCTGACGCTAGCTTCCTGGTCCCTCCCCTCCCTGTCCCTTCAAAAGTCCTTGTGTCCCAGCGGTCAGTGGGCTCACACCCTGGGGGGACATTGGAGGCCTGCGGTCCTTGGAGACCCTGCCGCAATAGCCTTGTGAGCCCCCCTGTCCTTGACCATCCAAGGCCCACACTGGGGGGAGGCCACCAAATTGCCCCTCTTCTGCCCGCATTTCTAATTGACTGGCACTTCTGGAGAACAGCCTGGTCTGTCCTTCTGGTCTCTCCAGAACAAGGGGACTACAGCCCTGGGTACAGAGCAGAGGAGCCAAACTGAGACTATGCCGGGTGGCCTTAGGAGGTGACCGATGTCTCTTTGCCCAGTCCTCTCGTAGGCAGGGTACACAAAGGACCTGGGTGCAGTCGCTAGTGAGCCAGGCAAACCCATGCACGGGTAGTGGGCTGCCGTGGGCTCTCTGCTTCCCCTGCCCCTGCTTTACCCTGTAGCCCTACATGGCCTTAGCCTCGCCTTGACCTGGGCTGGAGGAAGGACCGAGGCCGAGAGCGCAGAGAAAATGCTCTAGCATTTTCTAGAGCAGCTGAGGAAGGACTCCAGCCTGGGTCAGCCATGGAAATATTCAGTGCCCACCTGTCATGGGCATTCAGGTAGCGAGGATGCAAGAATGAGACGAAATCCGGGGACTGGTGGGAAGTGTGTGGTGGAGACACGAGCAGGGCCCTGGAGAAGGCTTGTGAGGCCGCTCTTCTGGGCATTCAGGTAGCGAGGATGCAAGAATGAGACGAAATCCGGGGACTGGTGGGAAGTGTGTGGTGGAGACACGAGCAGGGCCCTGGAGAAGGCTTGTGAGGCCGCTCCTCCAGTGGGGAGCAGTGTTCAGACCAAGCTGTATGAGACTGGGGGTTACTGGGAGGGTGCGGGTGGGCTGCGCTCTCCACTCACCCCAACAGGCAGCCTTCACTTTCCCAGAGCACAGTTTGGAGGTGGTGAGAGGAGGGTGGATGTGGGGCCAGGGCCCATCAAGAGCTGCCTTGGGGCCACAGGTTTCCTTCTGAGGCAGTGGGAGTCCCCCCAAGTCGAGGGTGACAGAATCAGACCCACAGATAGAAAGTTTTCTGTGCCTGGAGAGGCCAGGGCCACAGGGCACATCAGAACCCTGGGGAAGGTAAGATTTTTTTCAGTGATCTGGTGAGACCCTGACTCAGCCCCTACCAATGGGTGCCACCAGCAGGCCGGGGTGGGAGGGATGCCCTGCACTGGCCTTCGTGCAGAGGCTCGGCAGGTGCAGGCCCGCTGGCAGATGTGTGGATGAGCCAGAGCTGCTGCCCTATGGGCCAGCGGGGTTGAGAGAACACCAGAAAGGGGTCTGGCCCATGTGGTGGGGAAATAGCACGGTAGGATGCAGCTTGCCTGTCTCTGCCACGTGCACCCTAGAGTCTGTCTCTACTAAGTGCTCAGTCCATTTCTTCACACTTTCCCCACTCCCTCCTTCCTTCTGCCAGGAGTCCAGAAGCTTCAGTGCCAAGAACAGACTGCCAGCCAGAAAGGGGGAAAGGGGAGTGGGGGTGGGTGGGTGTAGCCTCAGGCCTTTGTGAAGCCCCAGGTCCACCCCCTTTGTCACTCACTGAGGTGAGGGGGAGAGGAGGCCCACTTGTTGCTGACCACGTAGGGATGGGCCAGGGCTAGGTGGCTGTTCCTCATCTTCTCATGGAGGTGAGGGTAACATTCCTTCCTTGGCCACAGAATGTCTTGGGAGCTGGGACACCTTCTGAAACAGAGTTTCTTTGAGGCATTATAAGGACAGGTCCAGGGGTGGGGGCAGGGGTCCTGGCAATGGCAGTCATCAGAGTTCTGTGCTCACCAGGCTGCCTCTGCAGTCTTCCTCGCTGAGCCGCTGAGCCGTTCGTTCGTGTGTGCCCCAGAGGGGAGGTGCAGGCCCCTGGCTCTTTGTGCTAGAGCCTGCAGGGGGTTATGCACAGTGGCCAGGCAGGCTTCTTCCACTCCCAACTCTCAGAGTTGCCAGTAGTTCCCAGGTGCTGTGAGAATAGCCCCCAGCCTCCAGGCAGACACTCAATGTCTGGCCCACCTGCTGCCTGTCCAGCCTGGCTTCCAGGCCTCCCAGCCGAGCCTGCTCTGCCATCAGCCTGTCTCGCTCGTCCTCCCTCTGCACTCCACACACGAGTTCCCAGTCCGCCGGACTGACCGGCAGGCTTCAACCCCATTTCTTTTTTCCCTTCCCTCCTTCCCTCCTCCTTTCCCTCTTTCTTTCCTTTCTTGTTTTATTATAGGGTACATACGCTGACCGGAGAGAGAGACAGAGACAAATAAGGAGAGTGAGAGCACCCCAGTGGGTGTGGCCATGCCAAGCCCCATCTGCCACATTCCCCTCTTGCAATTTTGGGCACGCACACACACATACGTCCAGCTTGTTTTTCAAGCCTCCAGGTCCAGGATGTGAACTGTGCAGTCAGCCATGTGGGATCCAGCTGCTTTAACCACCATGCCACCAGTTGGTCTCCCACTTGCATCTTCCCTGCAAAGCCCAGGCCTCGCTTCCCAGGGCTGACCTCTCCTGTGTCCTGATGCCTTCAGGGCCTGTGCCACGTAATTTAGCACAGGTCTTGCCATTTTATGGTTGTTGTGGCTTGGTGTGTGTCCTGCCCACCAGCTGGAGTAGCCTCAGTTGCAGGATGGCCCCTCGGTGGGTGCTCAGGGGTTACCTGGCCTGGAATCAGAGCTCAGCAGCCAGCCTGGGGTAGGAGTGAATTTTCTGTTTCTCAGACCTGGCCTATGCCATTATTCTTGCTGCTGGTAAGTCTCAGTCAAGGGAGTCCTGGTGATCTGGGGCCTAGGAAGGAGCAGGTTAATCTCCTTCCAGAATCTGACTTTAGGGCTGCTTTCCTGTGATTCCCGAGTTCCCTTCTTCCTGTAGGTTCTGGCTGGGGACCTAATCCTGACATCTAAGCTACACCCATTTGAGCTGGGCTGCCTGCCAAGACATCTGGTCCCGGGAACCCTCACTGAAGGTCCACTGGGGAATTCCAGCCCCTGACATGCCCTCTACTCTCTGGACCTGCTAGGCTCTTAGCAGGCTGCAGAGACCCTGGGCAACTCAGGCCTCTTTCCCAAGGGCCCAGGCTCTGCAGAGATCTCCTCTCAACCCCCAGCCCTGCCCTCAGCCCACCCTGCAGAGTCATGGGGAGCTCTGATGCCATCATAGGACAGCTGTTTCCCAGTGTTCGGAGCACAGGCCCCTTATCTGAAGGCTCCTGAATGCAGGCTGACGGGAATGTCTCAGAGGCCCTTTGCAGGGCAGGTGTGACCTTTTTCCTGAGAGCTTTGAGATCAGCCGCCTTGGGGGTTAAGGGGGTGGGGCATTGCCTAGGGGTAGAAAGCAGATGGGGTGCCAGCCACTCTTGCTTACCACTTACTGGGTTTTTGTTCTTTCAGACTGGAGGCCTGCGCTGAATCTTGCTGCCCTGGACTGTGCCGACGAGAGCAACAGCGCAGTCTGCAGAGACTTCAACATCGCTGGCTTCCCCACCGTGAGGGTATGTGGCAAGAAGGGAGGCAGGCGGGGGGCCGGTGCTAGCAGTGCAGTGACAGCCGCTCTGGGACGACA